TTATATTAATATCTATGTATCTGGAACAGTATCATTTACCTAGAAATTACTGAAATCATGAAAGAAAATATCCTAGCATTTTCTTATTCATTATAATTTCAAATTCATACATAAGCTGTATCAGGAAATAGTCTGTAAACACACACACTTCACCATAAAACTTAGTTTTACTGCCCGCCCAGCCATTCTGATACATGAAATGATGAGACATGGTCCCAGTTAAGGCCTGAAATAACAGGCAAAGCTACTAATACATCAAGAAAAGGATTTATGTGAAAGTTCAAGTTCAAAGTATAAAACTAAGCAGTGACATTCAGAGGTCCACATTATGGAAAGGTTTACAAAGAGATGGCAACTCAGTGTTTGCACAGAGTAAAAATAAACAGTTGGTATACTGTGCACCAATGAGGAGTGCTTTATTCCTAACATGCAGGAGCCACAGAGTGAAAGAAACTACTGTCATATGAAAGGTTGCAGAAACACCTGTATGTGAGTCTCACTGTAAGCATGAAATTGCTTATAAAAATAAGAGCTTCAAATTAAAAAGTAAATACCCAGAGACTGTTTTATTACTGATGTTGAATGGAATTCATTTTACTATGTACAGCAGCCTTTCTTACACAGGGCTTTTAGTAGTAGGTGAATCAGTATAAATAAACACAACATACAAAGTGAATCTACATGATTATTTTTAATTAAAAACTGATTATGTACGTAAATATCAACCTCTAGTCAACAGGAAAAGCAAACTCACATACACAATACAAACTACTACTGAAAGTAATAAAATTCTTCCAATTTAAAGATACTGGAAGAAAAGTTTCTAACTTGAGAAAGCAGCCATAATAAACACCAAAAAACTGACACATGAAATTGTATAATTTAGAAACAACAAAATAACATACCTCTTATAGAAGTATCTACCTTAATTACGGTAAGCTGCATTATGCAAATGGAATCGCGACATGCCTTGTTGGACAGAGCTGAAGAGCTTGCAAAAAATTTTCATCTGACAACATAAATTTGGTTTTTCATCTATAGGCACAAAAGCCAGGGGAAGAAAACACATCTGTATCTCAATAGTGACCTCTAGTGGACAAGGCTTAGAATGGTGAGTCTCAAAATGAAAACTCCTTTAAGAATGAAAACAAAACATTTCTAAAGCTAACACTCTTAACTACCATAAAAACCAGAGATCAGATTAAGTAATGGACACTTAAAAAAGGCTTGGCTAACATCGACTTAAAACAGCAGGATAACCACATGGCAGAGGTAGAGGAGGAAAGAGACAAGAAAGCCCTTTAGAATCACTGCTACACTCCCGTCATCAGTGACAGTGAAAGCAAGCAAGTCGTTGGCTATGTACGGCTAAGTCCTTGGAATTAGCACAACTTATCACTTAACATTCTATGAACCAACCAGCATGAACTGAGTGCCATCTTTCATACTCCCATGCTTTTGGCACTTGTGTGGGCATCGGATACAACAGAAGCATAAGTCAGGGTTCCTAACCTCAAGAAACTTATAATACCATTAATGGCATGAAGAAATTAGTATATACTTTGGACCTTAAATCCATAAAACCGAACTTCCACTGAACGAGTAGCAAGCCCAGAAGCCATGAGACTTGCAGTGATAAAAGAGGCTAAGTAGAGACGCTGAAGCCCGGAGGGCGGCTTGGTGAAAGAAACAAACATGGCTGGTGATGAGCCCAGCTCCTCTACCTGCAAGATCTGAGGTGTACCCGAGGAACACCAGATAGCATGTCATCCTTCATCTATGAACTGTAGCCCCTGTGACTATAAAGTTGCCAGAAACATTGGTCTTTGGGACAGAAGGTGATGTTTCTGCAGTGTGCTCACAGTCCAGCAAAACGAAACAGACCATTTCACCTCAGACCAGTTACTTTTATCTTCCTTGTCATCTCTGAATCCTTCAGTCAACCATCATTACTTTACACAGGAAATATGGGTGCTGAAGAATAAGAAATCACTCCTGTCTTTAAGAAAACTTAAGGTCTCTTTAGAGAGAGAAGAAATATGAAGAGAAGGACAGGCGTTGCTTACTGGTGTTAAATACAATACACAGTCCAATGTTACAGGAGTTGGGGCAAGATTTCAAGTCGACAGTCAGCAAGGGGAGCCTGAGGGGCAGGATGGGAGACAGGAAGGTCAGGAGTAAAGGGAAGCTAGGAACAGAGCAGGCAGAGGCAGGGCTTGGCCCAGGGAAACAGACAGACTGTCTTCCTGCACTGGGGAAGGAAGGCTTGCTGCGGTCTGTGGAGCCAGATGGGTGCAGCTTCTGAGTCAGGAGGATAGAGCACCTTTCCCCACTTCCACTATGTATGAGAGTATCACAGATAGGTGTGCAGGAAGTGGGTCTTCTGAAGAGTAGGGACAGGGACAGAACCTCTTTTTTGCTCTGAAACTACTCCATTGGGCCAGAAAGAACTTCCTCTGGGCTCCCTGGGAGGAACAGCCCTTCATAGCAAAAAGGCAGAAGGAACAGATTCAACAGTTAGTCACCTCCCATCTCTGAATAGAGTCTGTCAAGGGCCAACAGTATCTAGGAAGCAGCACAGGTGGGGGAGTCCCACAGCCTCCCAGAACCCACTGCTCCCGCACCCTCCCCCACCCCCAGGACTAGGTACACACCATTCACTACAGTCAGTTGACACTCAACAATGACTGACTTGACAATTCTGAAATCTTTTTATCAGACACTCTAGAAAACATCAAGAATTTCTGGTCACGCAATCTTGGGAAATTTCAGCATCCCCAGATCCTCAGTGGTGCTGCTGTGTTGAGGGCCCTGTGGACACCAACCCCCAGAGAGGCAAGGTTGTCCACTCAGTGCTACGCTGTGCAGTGGCCGGTGGAGAGTACCTCAAGAACCTGGAGATGCACAGTGGCCCTAAATTAAGATCCCAGTTTGAGTAAGCTAGTCCTTCAGTCCGGACGGGCACAGAGGAAATGTCGATGTAACTGGCATACTAAGAGAAAAACACAAATACTTTTTGCAAGATAACAGCAGTGCTGCGGGGTTTATCTTTTGAGTCCCAGTGATTTTACTGTAACACTGTCAGCCAGTCCCCATTAAACCATGGAAAGTGAAAGACACTGATTACAATAAAAAGTGACAGAAGGGTGTGCTCAGCCACTTACATTTAATGCATATTTATATTTCCATCAAATGGACATATTTACTATAAACACTTGAAAAGCCATGGCAAAATCATTCATTTAAATGCCAGAAAAATAGTAAAAGATGCTAATTTGACCTTAATGGAACAGATAGGGTGACAGACATTACTCACAACGGCTTTGAAACAGAAGTTACCAAGACCATTAATTAGAGTTTACTGGATTAGGTCAAGGGTGTCTCAAATGGAAAAAGGGAAAGAACACAGCAAAAGAAGAAATATGAAGCTGGGATCATTCATCGTCAACCTAAAGCAGACACAATTTCACTCCATATTTATGCCTCTCTAAATTACCTTCATAGTATATGCCTGGAAAAAGAAACTGATCCCTGAGATTACTGTCTGCGATACATAAAAAGAAATAAACTACAACTATCTGAAAGGTAGATTTATTTTTAAAAGAACACATCAACTAACAGCATAGTAGGAAAAAAGCATGTTTTGCTTTCTTGTTTAAATGCAAACTTCCACTATAATAATGATCCAGTTCTAACAATGGTATAAGGGCAATTAAGACTTTTTTTTATGAACTGTATGGTTGAGAACTTCAGGAACATTTGCTCACAGAATCCTGGGTGAATACAGGGATCATGCAGCCCACTGCTTGGAGACACTACAAAGCCCCTGTGAGCTGGGATGAAGGTGTTTGACAGCAGGGTCATTTGCTGCAAAACTATAAAACTGGCAGTGCATTTCATGTTACAAAAATGACCACACATGACTCTCAGCGTCCATGGGCCCCACTACTCAAATGTGACAATGGCGCTACTCAGTCTTGCTGACAAATATGTGCTTTTTACTAAAAATGAACTAATCTGCCCGTTTCCTGCCCATGAGGGGCCCTCACTGCCACTCTTAATTCTCAATAATCAGCAGCTCTGTGACATTGCTTCAGGCTATGGACCACGCACATACACGCATAAATCCATCGTGCAAATCCCTCAACATGACATCCTGTTCGATTTCACTGGAATCAGAACGCTCCCTAACAAACTCTGGCCACGTGATTAGAAAATCATTCAAGACTGCAGGAAATGGGGGAGAGCAAAGAAGTAACAGTCAAGTAGGGGTGACAAAATTCTGGTACAAACTTATTTAACTCAGTGGTGTCGTGTCCAACAGGTAGGGGAACAAAGTCTAAAATAGTGAAGCTTCACCTTTTGGAAAGGAAGATGTAAACCAAGAATTTTTTTTTTTTTAAAGATTTATTTATTTATTCATACAGAACTGGGGTACAGGCCAGAGATGCGGAGGGTGAGAGGATTCACCAGAGACAGAGTGGGGAGCAGAACAGGCAGATCAATGAAGTACACTGCTGAGGGGAGCAGCGGGCGGGTCAGGAGAGGTCTGCCACGCCATGTGGTCACCTCCGGGGCAGGCGGGAATCGAACTCATGCGGAAGTGGCTTTAGTTTCTCAGTGCAGTGCTTTAACCTGCTGCGCCACCAGGGAGGGCCCGAAAACCAAGAATTTTTAATCTAATCTTTTCTGAGAAGGTTCTCTTCATGAAGATACTAATAAGTTGTCTTCAACAGCACACAGCATGCAGCACGGCATCTCCAAAGAGGGCCGTGTTCACAGAAACATCGTGTTCTTACCTTCAGTCACACACGTGATAGGAAAGAATCTCAAAACAGCAAAGTACTAGATGCTTGTGCATCTTAGTGTCAGCAAAATAAATGTCAGATTTTCTCAAAGAATCACTTGTCCTGGGTGCCTTTTAAAGAAACCCCAGAATCAGGACTAAAACAGTGTTTCCTAAAAGGCAGAAACTGCAACAAATGATAAAGTCGACTCACTTGTGAGCTTGTTGTGGCTGAGAACCAGTTGTGTGATGTGGGCCAAGGAGACTGTAAAAGAAAAAAGGATCACAGTTAGTTATGCACCCAAATTATACCTCCGTTCCTACAAGGTGAAGTGCTCGATCATTTTCACAGGTTGAAGAGTTACCACACGCCAAAATAGAAGCAGGAACTCCTATAACACCGTCTGTTAAATGTTAAACCATATTACGCAAAGTCATGCAACTAGCCGTGCAATTAGCACAGCAGGTTAGAGCTAAGATGATTAATGTCGAGGATCAAACATTCTGAGGGCCGGTCAGCAATGCTGGGCCCGACCTGCTGGCCGAGCGTGGTCACAGACTCAGCAGCGTGTGGGGCAGAGGCACTTAAGCCCTCACTGTGCTGAAAACCAATACAGGACAGAAACTTTTCTACGTACTATAGAAGATCAGAGTATAAACCCTCCACAGCTTCCTCTAAGCTGACTTTGGTTGACGTGTCAAAGTACCTGCAGATTGTGCGCCAGTTTCAAACATTATCCTGGAGGTTTAATCTGCTGAATGAGATTAGATTGGCTTAGAAAATGGTTTTACAAACTGCAAGGAAAAGAAATATACACAGATACAGACAGCCATCTGAGAAAAGCGGTTGGTTCCACTGAGGTTCTAAGACTTCACTGCTGATTGGTGAACAGACAGATTTAGAAATGTCTCCTTCCTATATGAACAGTGTGTGAACGCAGAGGTCAAATCTGTTCTCAGTGTCAATTTTGACCGCAACATGCTAAAGGGAAAATGAGGCTGTATCACTCTTAAGCACACATTTTTAAGGTGAACTATCACAAAACTACAGAAAATGAAAATGTCCACAGGTTTTAAGTGGACAAAAAAAAGACCAAAGAAGTGTCTTCCAGCCCTGAATGATTGGTGACTAAACTGGCCTCATGTCCCACAAACTTCAGGGTGACCCTGCAAGTTCTCCATCAGCCAAAACTGAACATGATACATCATCACCCTCTAGCTGTCAGACCCCATCCCAATTTCTCCAAATGTCCAATCATTTCTTTATCACAAAGGATCCAGGTTAGGTGCCCGGCACTTTAGGTGAGTAAAGACAGTTTTAGTCTGAAACTTCTTTTTCCTTTACTTGCATGCCCTTCATAGCTGTGAAGTTTATGAGCTACACTGCTGTACAACTTCCATGTGGATTTTTGGTTTGCTTATTATCCTTGATAAAATGTAGGTTAGTACCTTGGGCTGGAATATCCCCGAAATGGGGTCTTATCTCACCGGACTCTACTGCGGGGGGCGGAGAGAGATGGAGGGGAGCACAAGCTTCCAATTTGTCCCATCACTAGTGCTGTTTCCCCAATCACTGAAGTCTACAGGCTTCACCACTGTGAATTTACTCTTTCCCTCTTGGCAATTGTGAATTTACTCTTTCCCTCTTGGGGGTAATGGGGGGCAGAGAGGAGGGAGAGTATTTTGAAGTTATATAAATAAATGTATCCCTCGATTTTCAAAAGGTCCCATTAGGTCACTCCTCTCTTTATGAGCAGAACAACATTAGTGCCTGCTCCTACTTACCAAAAGAACGCTGAGGAGGGTGTTTATTCTCACAACACAACGTGGGCATCTGAAAGAGCTGGCGCTGGCTTTGCAGCTGCTGCCACAGAAGCTGAGTGTCCTGCCCAGCTCCTTCCTGAAACTACGTTTTATAGGCTGTGCATTAGCACGTCTTTCCTGTGTTATTCTACCTGGCCGTGGGACGTGGGCTGTCATGTGCTATTTATTAGCACCCAGCAGGCTACTTGGGAGATCTGTCAACACTCAAAACAGTTTTGGAAAAAGTGAACACTAATTGCTTTGCGTTACCTAACTCGTTCAGGCTTTCCAAGGTTCTCAGAGGCACACTCCACTCTGGACCGCAGGGGACACCTGTATCCTCACCGAACTCTGCACTAACATGATGGCATTTTGACACAAGACACTTGGCAAATTTGGAGTCATCTTTGACGGTCATGCCAGTGGCCAGCAGGAAACCCAAACTTTCCTACGTGGCTCAGGCCACATTCCTACTGGCAGAGCACTGGTCTAAAGCATCGGCCCTGGGTGGGCGGGGGCAGGGCGCTGTGCCACATCCCACAAGGCATAAGGCAGCTCGCCCCTGACAAAAGATTCGCCAGCCCAATCCAGCCAGTGTTGATGCGAGCAACGGGGCTTCCGTTCCTACATCTGCCACACTTCCTGGTTTCTGCTCTAGTCAGCAATCACAATCTATCGTTGACTATTTATGCTGATGTTCAGATTGTCCCCAATTTGGTCAGTGGAGCCATCCACACTGGCCGCTGCTGCTCCCGAATTCCCCACCCCCCTCATTTGCTGAGTCTCTTGCATTCTAAGACCAGCTACTCATGCTCAATTTGTACTTTTCCTGCCACAGTTCCCAGCGCCCCTACCCTTCCATCATCGTTCATCTGTTCACTTATTTAGGACCCTTATATTTAACTGCATAAATTAGAACACCTAGATTTGAATCTTTCCATGCTTACTGACAGGGACGCCGGAAGTCTGGCACCAGACTAGAGACAGGCTAGTTAGGGATGTTGGACATTCTGTTTAAAGCTGAAGACACCCTGGGGGTTTACCTGTTTAGTCTGGTGGCTCACACCCACCTACAGGATGTATGACTGGTGAGGCCCAAAAGACAGTGCTGGATAATTTTGTTCGGTCTCTCCCAAAGCCATGACCCTTGCAAAGGTTGATGGCTCATAACCTAGACACAAAACAGGTTCGAGCAACTAAGACATAACCCTGGGGCGTCACCAGGGAGCCCCTGAAAGTCCAGATGCTCACCTGTGCTTTTATAACCCTGTGAAACTATATTCTTTGCCTTTATTAAATTCTTACATGAGTAGGTTCTGTGGGATTTTCTGAATTCTTTCACTACCCAACCACGCCCAGCTGGGCACTGGACCTCCAAGAGGGCCTCCCACCCTGAACCCTCACCCCACTTAGGTATCCACTCTGCTCTAGGTTATCATGCTCCACCCATATCCTAGACACTTCTTCTGTTCTGTTGGTTTAGGTCTGAATTTCTAGGGAAGGGGAAAAAGAAAGGCAGAGTGAAAAGAAGAGAATATTTGGATGACTTTAAAAGAAACAGTGATGCCTAGCACAGGTAAGTTCTACTGTCCATAAATGATGTTTCAATAGAAACTGTTAAAAAAATATATCAATATGGCAGACATTTCAAAAAAAAAAAAAGAAAGAAACAGTGATGGCTTCTCACATGACAGTTCAGATTTTGAACCCATAAGAATATCTCACACATTAATTTTTAAGAGTTAGATTTTATATTCTAAATAAGGCATGATCTCTCTCTGAAATAGAGTCTAAAGTGAAAACTCTCATACCACCTAAGACATAACAGACTCAGAGCTGTGTTGATCAAGACCACGTTCAGCTCTCTGTGAGAGCAAACCACAAACAACAGGAGTCACATGAAACAGGAGTTCAATTACCCCCAAAGCATGACTCCCACCTCATGGTCCAGAATGGCTGCTCAAGCTCAGCTCTTGAAGCTGTATTCCCTTCAGGAAGCTAGGAAGGAAGAGAAGACTTTTCCAAGAAGTTATATACAGCACTTCCACTTGCAAGCACTTAAATCAAAATTTTGTGATACTATGATGCCTTCCTGCAAGGAAAGCAGGAAAATGTAGTCAGCATTTCCGGCGACCCTGTACCAGCTAAAAATGAAGGGATTTTTTTTTTTTCCTAGCTTTACTTAGAAGAGCTGGTTGTATTTCTTTGTTAAGATTTCATTTATTTATGCATACAGAACTGGGGTACAAGCCAGAGGTGCAGGGGCGGTGAGAGGCTTCACCAGAGACAGAGTGGGGAGCAGAACAGGCAGATTGAAGAAGCACACTGCTGAGGGGAGCAGCGGGTGAGCCAGGAGAGGTCTGCCATGCCATGTGGCCACCTCTAGGGCCAGGGATCAAACTTGCACTGAAGTGGCTACAGCTTGCTTGCAGTGCTATATCCTAAAATGCTGCGTTACCACGTCACCAGGTAGGGCCCAAAAATGAAGGGATTTTTCCCAAGAAAAGATGAGCAAGTCAAAAAAGAAAAAAAAAAAGCATGCAACTAAGAGCCTTTCACACAATCACACTAGCAAGACTGTCACTCAAATCAACTGATTATGAAAGAATATGGATAATCCTATCTCCCCTTGTCCTGATTTTTCCAAACCATCACAACTAACTAAACAAAAAAGCAAAAGCTGTTTGCTTTTCTGCCAGCTAACATTAACAAGGAAAAAACCTAATTAGGGAAAATTGGTTCTTTTCAATCATTTTACAGTGCCCTTTCAACAAACATTTAGCAGGAGAGTGAGTGATCAAGCCTGAAAGATTTTTTTTTTTTAACAGAGAAGAAAAATTCAGTTGTTGCTATCACACCACTAAAAATGTATTTCTTTTTCACTATTGTTACAGGACTACAGGCTAATGTACGTGAGAGGGGGAGAAATTAGAGCAGAAAAGAACAAGTTCATGAAAGATCTTTGAGAAAATATTTAAGGCAACAGAAGACAACAGGGCGCGCCTGTGGAGAGGGAGTTTCACTGGGCAGAATCAGAACGACAGTCAGCCCCAAGCTAAACACACAGGAAGGAGCAACATCGGGTGTTCATCCAGCAGGCCACTCCCTTCCTTCCACTCAGCACTGCTCAGTTCATTGTGAGTCTCCTACGGAAACTGCTGCTAGAAAAGAAGGGGGAAACACACGAAACAGAACAGATTATTTCAAAGTACAAAAGCTGCCATTGTCAAGGAGTTGAGGAAGTAAGAACGCGCTGGACCCATGGATCTACCTCACCCAGCCTAACTGCACCCTGGGAGCGCCTTTGTGGGCGAGTGACTAGTGCTGCTGTGGCCACAGACTGTCAAGAAGGTACCCCCCAGGGCAGTGGGACTAACAGTTGTGAAAGTTCCTGAAGCAGCATTAAATGGCACCTCGTCTAGGTGTGTTCAAAGGAGAAAGTATTTCAGAACTCCAGTAATA